GGAAACCTGAGAGCGTCCTCCACCAGCAGCCGCTGCACCTCCTGCTGCAGCACCACCAGACGAACTACTTCCTGTACCGGTGCTCCCAGTAGCCCCAGCACCTACAGCACCCCCTGATCCTCCGGCTCCACCGGCTCCCCCGGCTCCCCCAGAAGCACCTGCCGCTGCTCCTGCACTTCCAGCAGCTGCCGTAGCTCCACCACTACCAGTAGCTCCAGCCGTCCCACCTGTTCCAGCAGTTCCAGCCGAGCCTGCACTTCCGCCGGCTCCACCAGACCCACCTAACCCGACAGCCCCTCCAGCCCAAGCATTCGCTGCTGTTCCTGCAGCTGCACTGGCTCCTGTCATTCCTGGTCCAGTGACTGAGACCACGTTACCATCCACTACGTTAATCTTATATTTATGCCCGTCGTTACCATGAAGATTGTTTAACCCATCCTCCAGTGTTTTTGTGATCATTCTGATGGCTGCGTTTTCTCCTGCAATTCCTCCAGCCCATGCTCCAGCTTGTACTCCTGCCATTGCACCAGCTTTAGCTCCTGCTTTTGCGCCTGTTTTCTTGGCCCATCTTTCGCCAAAAGATAGTCCAGCCTTCGCACCAGCTTCCGCGGCTACCTTAAGCAAAATGGCTTGGTAGGAGAAGTTATTATCTGTTCATAAGCACAAAAAAGTAACTAACTTTACATCGAAATAAACAAAGTCAGTGTTTACTTTTAAGTTCCTCGCCATGCGAGGTTTACAATTTTGGCGGGATTCGGATCATGCTTGAATACGCCTGGATCTCTAGCGAGGTAGCCTGAAACACGAAGCGGCAATATATCGAGCTCACGGGTGTCCACAGTTACCTAGCAAAGACCGCGAGTAAACAAAACCCCGCAAAAAACGCCATTTTAGCCGCCACGAAATGCTTTTGGCGAAAAATTTCGACTATGGAAGTACTTTAAACAGAAATGGAAGCGATCTAGGCCGTTAAATTCAAAATAAGACCGAGATAAGAGAACATTTGTTTTGCGTCTTACTTAGCAGTCGAGTTTTATCGTCGGTATATCGGCTCTACAGGGCATTTGTTCTTCGAATGCAACAAAGGGGTCCAAATTCGGCTCTCTACAGTCAAACCCCTGCTTTTTTCCTGAAATACAACTTTGAATTCATGCTTGACGCTTAATACGGCTTGACCGGCTTTACACTTTGTTTTCCTCCGGCAATTTTTTTTTTCACTTGAGGCTCATATCTGGTTCATTAAGTAGCGTCTTGGTAAGCACGTACGTAAATCTATCTCTTCGTTGAGAGCAATGTTGTTTTTACTTGAGGTTCTGGTTCATTACGTAGCGTTATGGTAAGTGCGTACCTTACCTAGCCAGTAAGGGTTTCAAATTTGAATCTTGAATAAACCTATCATTTCGTTAATTATTTATTATCTTCGACTATGTTTTTTTTTCTTTCTTGGCTTTTCTCTCTCTACTAATCTCATGACGTTCTACGATCGAATTTCTTATTTATTCATTCCAGATATTTCTCACTTTCTGATTGCCTCAAATCCCACGGTTGATTCTTCATAAACAGCCATCGTTGACCAAATTTGGAAGACGTTTGCGATATGTGGAAAATGACGTCAATACACCGAATGCAAATATGGCGCACCTTTTGGCCGGCCCGGGTCTAGTTGCGCGAAAGCAAGGATAATGAGGCCTCAAGAGTTACTGAGAGTTTAGTTTTGACTGCGCGTCTTAGCGATTGAGTCGATCGATGTGGTTTGCTTCGAGTTGTTACGCGAGTAAGAGCCATCAATGAGGACATTTAACTCCAGAAGAAACGAAAGTTGATTATCTTCCCTTTGCGAAGGTTCTGTACGAAGAAAGAAAAGGATTCAACCGATTCGGCGAGGCCAAGGGAAGCACTTTGCTATCACGGAGTTAAAAGAAGGAAAGTGTGCTTGCTTCACTTCAGAAGAGAAGACTCACGAAACTATTGAATGGGAGAATACCTGAGAGATGGTTCTGTAACAATCCTTAAGAGCTCTCAGGGACACTTCTCAGCGTGCATGAAATGTTTACAACGAGGCCGAATGTTTTCAAAGCCTTCACGATCCTGTGTTCAAGAGTTTGAGTAGTGCCATAAAAGTAGCAATTTTTGGAAAACCGCTGTTATTCTCGAAACCCTTCGACAAGTTGCTTAATAAAAATATAAGACGCGCAAGGGCAAATTTTATACAATGCTCTAATTTCTTGCACGCTCATTCCCTGCCAGAAGCTTTTTCCTTCTTTTCACTTTCTTAGTTCGCGACACTTCCTTTGTTAGTTTTTTCAGTGCACTTTGATCAAAGGACTATTCTTCACACATGTCGCTTCCTTCTAGTTCTTACATGGTTTCATAGGCCACGCTTGTAGGATTAACAGGCAACTGTTATTGTTGTGTTTCATTCACACTCGTCACAGTTGTTACTGGGCTGCCTGTGCGGCTCAGTCATAAAATGGGCTTTCTCTCGTCGGTGTCGAAAATTGGTCTCCCGGGGGAGGGAAGACACGAGGGTCTGGTACTGAGAAACGATGTTCTCACAAATGGTTTCACATATCTCTTGCACGAACCCTTGCACGGATACTTTTTCTACCTCGTCTGCGCTCCCCCTGAAAAACCCACAAGGCGTTGCGAACCTGAAGAAGGCTATTTGCGTTGTTCGAAGCGATTCAATCGTGGGAGTCACTCTATAATTTTTTTATTGTTCGAGTTTAAGTCAGTTAGATGATGTTGGCGCTGGGAAACTCAGAGAAATGCTCGCGTTGCATTCAAACCGACACGCCGTTCACGGTAGGTTCTAAGGTTTTAAGACTGAAAAGATGACTGTGAGCGTCAGGTTTGGAACGCCGTGGCCGCTTCGTGAACTATCGATCGATGTAGTACATGAGCAATTAAGAAGCACAATTTATGAGAAAAGTATTTCACCAGTTGACACTATGGCTGAAGACTTGATTGTAAACCGTCATAGTCAGTGAAGCGAACAACTCAGTTGCCGATGAATGGAAGATGAATCCTGATGTGACGCACGTCCATAGCGAGGGACGTCACAACTTTGCCATGTTAGAAGACTGGCTTTTCCTTTAAATATTTCCTTCTATTTAATGCAACACACGCCACTTTGGAGGTCTAAATTTCGGATACTGAGGATAAAGAAGACACGGACAAAAATAGGAACTCTGAGAATTTCGCACACAAGTTTAAAGCTTCACTGGGACATCCCATCCGGGAGCTTCACAGAGAGCGACTTGAGGAAAATAGGAGCTATTACTGACAAGGTTTGGTGACTGAGCAGAGCATACAAGTGTAGCCCACGTCGAGCTTTCAGGGGGTTTGCTTTTGTTTGTATCTGTATCTTGCTAAGCTTTTATCATTAAATTTGTACAAGATCTTGTGATCACAATTCGGTGTTTTCGCCCATTCAGCAAGCACGCTATATTGATGTCAGCATGAGCGAGTTTCAGAAACATGCCTTTGAAAATTTTCAGCTCTCGTGATGTTTCTTGATATTTCTTTTACCATTTTATGGAGATGCAAAATGAAGTCACCGCAAAATGGAAACTTAAAAAAGCGTATAATCGATTTATCTCGAAACATAACACACATGACTTATACGACCTTTATTTTCGTAAATGTGTTTTGAATGCGAACGAACACAATCAATGTGAGTGGCAAAAACAGCACTAATATAAATGAACCATAGGATTTTAAATAACATAAGGGTCAATTATTGCGCATTGAGATGAACCGCTTGAAAAGAGAGACTTCGCTTGAAGATGTGATCAGAAGTAAACAAAGGCATAATAGTGCGTCACGTTCAGTCTTTTTAATATCCAAGGAGTCACTGTGAATAGTGTTTCCATATTGTTTAGCCGGCACAAAAACTTCGGACGAGTTATAAAGCGGCATAGTTATCTTCCATGAAGAAAAGTTAGTCTTGGGTGAGACAAACAAAACTGGAGGGAATTTTTAACTCACATCGGAACAAGGTAAAAAATATGTTATCGATCGTTTCATCTATTTACATTGTTTGAAGTGCGTGCTGGTGAACGCAACATGCGAGCGAGAAATCTTTAAACTTTTTTAGGTCTCAAAATGCAAAGGATTTTATTCCTTTAAGTTAGAGAAAAATACCATGAGGAAAATCTTAAAACTGAATATTTTTCATCTTGTGGAAAAAATAGTGCGTTTTCATGTAGACTGTGGACCGCAAATTAGGATCGCACTTTTCACAAACATGCGAATTCTGAAGTTCAGAACCCAACCGACGATTGCGTTTTTCGCTGCTGTCAATCATCTTAACGGACCTCTTAGGAAACGAAACTTTACTTCACGGGTTCAAAAGATCATGGTTTGTGATTTGTGGATTTCGATCCGTTTTGTGTGTTTCTCTGTTTCAAGGTTCGTTGCTTGTGATCGTAATTATGATTGACGGAAGCGATAAACACAATTGTGAAGGTGGCTTTTGATCTTTAGAGTTCGCATGGTTGTGAAAAGCGCAGTAAAGTCTCCGTGCAGTCAGTGAGGCCCCCTGGATCAGGCGGGATCAATGACCAGTTAACTGTCTGTTTTAGTATACTTCTGGTTTTCATACAATACAATATTTCTGTCTAGTGTAAATCAGCTCAGTCTGTCGCATTTTATGCTCGTAGAAGGACAACAATTTTTGGAATTTCCGGTTACGTCAAATTAGTCACGTTGTACTGTCACGCTATATTATGGGGCACAGAGGGATTGGGGGAGGGGTGCGTGGAAATAATGCAAATTGTTTCCTGCTTACAATTAAGGGACTGTGCAATAATTATCTGGAGGGGGGTTCTAAAATTAGCAAAGTAGGCCTTAAAATAAAGTTGCACCCCCCTGAATTAAAGTTAAAATAACTTCTTGTCCACCCCCGTCTAGAGGGGAGATTACTTTCAAACCCCCTCCCCAACCTCCGATCCTCCCTACATCCCTCTTTACCTTTACACTACTTCTGGTATGTCTGCATCATCAATAAATAAAACTTGGAAGCTGCGCTCCATATAATCGTCGCCTGATGAACCACCTTCATACTCGGTTGACTCCTCCTCAGAATCACTTGAGGTATCATCATGAGAACTGGAGGGCATGTTTTCATCATCATCTTCGATGTCTTCATCAAATGTTCTTGCTACAGAACCGTCTGCATGCTTAAGTATTCGCTCAACTAATTGTGCCTTGTTTCCAGATACCATTAGACCTTCTTGCCTTAGATAGAGCCGAAGTTGCTTGTTAGTCAGTCTTTCAACATCGTCTCTGCTCTCCCAACAAATATCTTCTGGAATGGTGTTTCTTTCCAGATTTCTTTTGTCTGCTGTTAGAGCCAAGAATTCAAGGTGCTGAAGATATCTTCTGCAAGAACTTTCGTCGATGTTAAGCTTTAAGCATGCTTGCCGTATGGCCTGGTTATCAGAAGAGGTCACTTTCTTTTCAACAAACATCTTCTTCACTGTACACTAGGAAGGATACTGTCAACCTCGCTTGGAGCCAAACGAGGTTGATCAACTGGGAGATACTTTTGGCATCCCGCAAATTGACAATATTGACCAAGAGACATTTTTACTGTTTACATCACATACGGACAAATCTTGTCTGAGGGACTTGCTTTCCTGTAAATGCTTCGTTGGGGAAGCGGAAGTGCTTGTTCAAAACCAACTCGGGATTTAACTCAAGTTCTTGAATATATGTTTAATATATCCCCCCACCCTGCGCTTTGGTTTAAGTTCAGGCCCCCCCTATTAATCTTAAAACCCCCCTCCAGATAATTATTGCACAGTCCCTAATGGCTAACTTGTTTATTTTTATTCATAATTGTGGAATTTAAAAGTTATTATACAGCCCCCACTTAAAAATGGTACTCTTTTTTTATGGTTACGAAAGTCTTTCAAAAGGGTACAATGTTCTGAATGAGTTTATGTTTCAGTCTCACATGAGATTCTGTTGCATGCAATGGTTGCCTACAAGGTTTTATGGTAGCCTGAGTGTGTATAGCCGCCCCCTCCCCTCAGAAAAAATAGCCCCTTTGCAGCCCAGTTAAAAATCGCCTTTCGGCTATTCTTGCTATATTTCAATACAGCTGTTTCCAGCGTGAAATCTAAAAGATCTTAAAGTCGACAGCGGATGCTCCCTTTCTCGATAACGTTTACCTTTTTTTCGAGAAATAACAGACTATGCAAGCATCATGGAACAGCACCATCTCTTGCTAAAATTCTTTCATTCAAATACTTTCGAGAGTCATCTCTCCTAAAGCAAATGAAGCGACCACTTGCACTTGCACTTGCACTTTCGCTGTGAAGTGCTTCCCATCGCCGCGCCGAATCGCGTGAATCCTTAGCTTTCTTTGTGAAAAGATTTTCTGGAAAGTAAAGGTAGTTCCTGTTAGAGTAAAATCTCTTGGTGGTGCCCAGCGAAGCAACAACTCGAAGCAAACCATATCGATCGACTCAATCGCTAAGACGCGCAGTCAAAACAAAACTCTTGAGGCCTAACTAGCCTCTCTTGTGCGCAACTAGACCAGGGCTGGCCGAGAGGTCTGCCATATTTGCATTCGGTGTATAGTGCAGCATAAATGCCAGAAAATTGGACCGTTAACCGACAAGTCCTGGGGACGAGGTTGAGTTGTTTTGGTATAGCAGTAGAAAATGGAGGAACATTTCACACGTTTCGCGAAGAAGACATAGGGTAACTACTGCATGCCTCAAAACATAGCAAGAACAACAAGACTACAATTAGACCGACGACATTTGCTATTTGGAGAATATCTGCAGAACTGAACATCCCTTTATCATCCAATAATCGTTAATTTAAAAAAATTAAAAACCGAACCTTCGCTTTTAGGCTTGGCTAAAACTATATATCTATCAAAAGCTGCCAAAGGCTAATTCTTCAGTAGCCTGAGCTGTTTTCTATTCACCCGTTAAAGATGCGAAACATTATTTCGTGCATGTACTGCTCAAGGTTTGCTGCTCTGCGTGAAAACTTGTTTGCCTCGGCTGCCTAGCTATTTGGAAATAGATGGCATTGTGCCTCTGGTAACGAAAAAATTGATTGACTCTTTGTGGTATTTCTCTGAATGCTGATTTTCAAAATGACGTTAGGTTGTTCCTGTTTGCCCAGTCGTTGATTTCTCTGTCCAACAGTTTTTGCTAAATGCTCGATACTTTGTGTGTGTTTTTGTTTGTTTGCTCGTTTTGTTTCGTTTTGTTTTGTTCGATCGTGATTTTTGGATGTTAACAGTGCTTCCAAATGGATCACACTCACACTTGTGACGTATAAGCCCGAAAAATACGTTTCTTGGTCACCATGAATGGATAAATAGTGCCCCCAAAGGAGTGTTCAATTGATAAACTGGGCCGTTGAGAAGTTGTTAACTCCATGGAATCATACAAATGAATTAAACGTTTTAAATTCGACAGTGGAAAAATGCATCTCATTCGTCGTACGGATGAATCAAATCGTTGTCAACTAGGAATCAAAACACTAGAGATCGTGAGTTGTCAAAATAGACATAAATGTCCCCTTTCCTGATTTGACCAATAGTCAACTTGAATCTGTTTGCCTTTTTCATAAAAAAACTTCTCTTCCATACACGTGACGAGAAATTGGATTTACTGCACTTTTGACACGCGTCCAAGGTTAAGTCAAATATGGTATTGGCTTTGACTTCACCTTTGACTCGCGTCAAAGATGTCGCCAAATATATAATCTCTTTGCTTACTCCTTTGACCTCGGTAAAGGTGAAGTCAAATTGGTAACAACTTTGACTTCTCCTTTGACGCGCGTCAAAGATGAAGTCAAATGAATCAATGCTTTGCTATTCCTTTAACCCTTATCAAAGTCGTTGTCAAATATGCTGGTAACTTTGACTTTACCTTTGACGCACGCCAAAGATGAAGTCAAAAGTGTAGTGGCTGTGACCACATCTTTGATACTAGTCAAAAATGAAGTCAAATACGACCGCTACACTTTTACAACACTTTTGAATGGTGCTGAAAGGTGAGAGCAAATATGCAATGAATTACGTCTACAAACACTTATGTCGAAACTGATATTAAGAAAGGAAATTAAAAAGCTGTATTTGAATACTGTTTTAAAGATATTTATACGACAATACCGAACACGGGCGGGTTATCATTGTAATTGCTGTTTTATAATTATTTTTGAAAATGTTCTAGAATATGTAATATTTTTCGAAGTGATTTTTTTTGTCATATCTTGAGTGGATCATTTTCTCCTTGATCGATCACTATACCATGTAATGACAGCGACGCAAAACAATGACTCAACAATTGGACGATGGAAGACTGAACCCGAGCAAGACACCCTGTTTTTGGCGCGAAATTGTCGCGGCTGCAAACTCTCTCCGCCCGCGCAAACAAACAAACTACGCAGATCTGAAGAAAACAAAAGCTGGTTTTTTGTACGAAGCAGTCCAGCTTTTGTTAACAAATATTTTCACCCTTATCTTTGATAGAGTTTAGACCACAAACTTGTTCAAAAGGTACGTGTCATTCTTTTCTATGTGTGCATGCAATAGTTGTTCTTCAAACTTCATAGTTGTTTTACTTTGTTAAGCTTACGGAAAAAAATCAAACATATTTGGCAACACCTTTGTTAAACCTTTGCCTTAAATCTCAGACGCATTTGACGACAACTTTGTCACACATTTGACCTGAGGCTCAGACACATTTGACGACACTTTTCACAAGCCTTTGACTTTAATCACAGACATAACTTTGCCGCGCTTTTATCACACCTTTGGCCTGAATCTCAGACATATTTGACGACGCCTTTGATAGGGGTACAAATGCTAATGAAATATACCTTTAACGCGCGTCAAAGGTAGGGGTTAAAGGCGTGACAAAAACGGCCTTTATCGCCTGAAGACTCGCCTTTGATCGCGGGCAAAGGTAAACATTTGTCGCGCGTCAAAGTTGTACAAAGATGTGCAAAGGTGGCCTTTATCGCCCGTTTGACTTCACCTTTGACGTTCGGTAAATCCGTTTTTTCGTCCCGTGCATATTTCTTGTCCTGTAAGCGGGAATACACAACCGAGAGGATTAAGTCCGATTGTCAGATAAGAGAATCCAAGAACGTCTTGGATTGTCGATTCCAAGCTACGGATTCTGGACTCCAGGGACTGGATTCCGGATTCTTGTCAGTGGAACTTGGATTCCTGATTCCAATCGTTAGTGGGATTCCGGATTCCTTAAGCTGTATTTCAGACTCTACAGAAAGCCAGGATTCCGGATTTACAAGAAAACATTTCTGGATTCCGGATTCTACAGGCAACAATTTCCGGGACTCCGGAATTCAGATTTCTTCACATGGGGAGAACGAAATTTCTAGCGTATTGTCACAATAGCCTCTTAATGAAGTTGTCGATTCGAAGGATTCTAACATGCATTATTATTATGATAACAATATGCATTATTCCTTCGAACGTCGACAACTCATTCTGCTGAATCGAGAGAAATCTTCCTCCCAACCATTGTCTGCACTCTGACCTCTCAATCAGTCCACGCTGGGAGGTCACTGAAGCGCTGGACTTGTTATTTACAGATTTCAAGTCCAGCCCTGACCACCAGTTTGATTTGTTCTCGGTAATCCCGAGTTCCAATTGTCGGCGACCAAGCTCATAAAATAGCCAACTGGCATCATAATGGTTTGCCTCCCACCAATCAAGTATTTATCATCATCATCATCATCGTCATCATCATCATCATTTATCTTTAAGGCCCCAGTTGTTCAAAAAGTGGATAACGCTATCCACTGGATAAATCTCTATCCACTGAATGGCGCAATTAGTTTCCCTTATACTTATCTGCTGGATAGTGAATTATCCGGTGGATAGCGCTATCCAACGTTTGAACAAGCCGGGCCAGGTTGACAGTATCGAAAAAGTTCATTGTCACTGACTTACGGGGTGGAACAGGCAAACTGGTCCTCAAGAATGCAGAGGGTATCACTGTGTAATTTGTCCCGTCAGGTGCCTGCATTCCGACTTCTAAGTGGTCATCTTGATGATCGTCTTTCACTATAGTTTCCACGTAATAATATTTTCCCTCCTCCAGAGGAATAGGAAGTGATATTTGGTTGCTATACCTGTATAGATTCATACATATAAGGTTGATCATATTACTGGTTGTCCCCGATATAGTCCTTTATTTAATCCCGTCACCCAATCTGACGCTTTGAAGTGATCATCTTTCATTCTAGTTTCCATATAATAATATTTGCCCTTTTCCAGACAAATAGGAAACGACATTGGCCTTGATACCTGTATAGGTCCATACGTATAACGCTGATTAGATTATGTCTCTTATGCCTTCGATTTGGTTCTTTAATCCCGGGTAAAAGTCGGGATGTATAAATGAACCCCCGAGGGAGACGCCGCATATGAAAGGGTGGGGATGCTCGTCGCCACGCTTAGGGATGCAAATTTCGAATTTTGGTCTCACTTAGGGTGTTCTAGGCAAAACGCCATCATATTTAGCCGTGAAGGTCTCGTTTAGGGTTGCACGCGAAAAAAATAAAAATATATATATACCTGGATTTTTGAAAACCGGGTCAGCAAAAATATCAAGTCATTCTACTACTTGGTAATTTAAAACAACAAAACTCATTCAAAGGCCGATTAAAAGCCTTTATATGACGCCGGGCAGTGCGTTAATGGTCCCTAGAAGCATTCCAACGAGTCCAAATTTAGAAGGACGCAAATTTTAGAACATTTATTCAGTAAACTGACTTCGCGAAGTTTCAAACCGGTGTCATTGCAGTCTAGAAATTTTTAAGTTGAGTGAGCTGCAGCGAAAGAGTGCCTGGTTAAGGCCTACATAACAACTTAAATAGTTAGCAAAACACTACTTTTTGGGCGGTCCGATAAACAACAGGATTCCGCATGGAATAGACTACAAACTGAATGAAACATAGTGTACAAATTATCACCTTCTTGTCTGCAAAAACCGGCCTATGGTGCAATGCCATTAGAGCCTGCTGAAACTAGACCTAGATCTAATTTTCCTGAGTCGAGAGTTGCTTTTCCAAGGTACAATCAGCTAAGCTAAACACCGACGAAACATTATTAATGGCTGGCACAGAATATTTTGGCGAAACCGCAGTTCAACCACGCAATCACATACCTGTCAACAGCATGCGGAAATCACACAATCACACACTTTCGCGGCACTGATAAGACTATCCACAACCACGCATAATCTTCTCACGTTTAACATAAGCGAAATATCATCGAATAACTCGGAAAAACTCAGCCTATTGCCAGATAAACACCTCTGGACCTTTCTCTTACACTCGTCTTATTCAAGTTCCCGGATGTAGAGTCACGCGGTCGGCGGATCACCTTAGCCTTGTTTTCACACCAGAAAAATACTAAGTCTTAGCCCGGGTCAAAGTTCAGCTGCAATTTTCCTCTCAACTAATTCATTTGACTCCTAAGAGCCTGTTCCCGAGGCCAAAGACTTAGTGGTCACCTTAGAAAAGCGAACAATATCGTACCTTTCTGTCTCAGCCCGGATCAGGGAGATTAATCCGTTTAGCCAAATGAAACGAGAATATAATACGATATTGGACGATGCAGACTCTGCGAATCGTAATAACTTTGTCCCATCTCAGAGCTTTACATGATGCTCTCCGGGAAACTTTTCTCAAGGTGACCAATATATAAAACTAAACTGCTAAACAGCACCGAAACCAGCCTTAAGCGCCCGCTGATTTCAAACTGATAACTGTCACTTGTGTAATAATTCTTTAATAATTCTGTCTACATCCACTTCTACACAAATCTCTAACCACAAGACAAGCCAAAAAAGCAAACGACATAAGCAAACAACACAGTAAACAAGCTATTAGACAGCGGAAGTTGAGAAAAATTACAAAATGTTTGCTAACCCGGTTGTCATAACTCCAGGTAGATATATTGTCTGTGTTTTAACATGGTCTCTTTTAGGGGTCAAAAAAAGCTTGGGCCACGCCCAGATCGGTCTCCTTTAGGGTTTAAGTCAACATTTCCGACGAGCATCCCCACCCCTTTCATATGCGGAGTTCCCCCCCGCCCGGGTGAAAACCTACATAAATTGACCCGGGGTCACTCAAGGGACGTTCGGAAAGAGGTGTGCCGCCATTTCACTACACTGTTTCAGACAAGAGACCTAATTTCATGACCCTCATCCACTTCGTTTCCACACACAGAATAAAGTAATTTTTCAAACCAACATCATGGAATTAGATTTTTTGAGAAAATTGTCGGGTAACACACATGTAGACCGCTGTGCCAAATAAGTATTGACTTATAGCGGAGCTCTGGCGCGCGAAGCGCGCCTGCGGAGCACCATGGGTAGGTAAATCTACCCATCCGAGAAAATTTGTTAATCACGTGACAGTACACCGCCCGCAGCCCGCCCGTCCGTCCGCACCACAGGAAAACCAATGTTCAATCTCACACTTTCTAGCTAGTTTGGTAGCACAGGAAGACTGATATTGCACACATATTGTACATCAATGTTGCGATCAATTGACAGCTGTAGAGTATCCGCTGACCAGTATCACCTGACCGTATCGCGGGCTCAGGTGCCGACCCATCGAGGTCGAGTATCTTTTTGAAGTTATCCGCTGACAAGTTACTAGTTTTCAAATGATCGCAGGCTCAGGTTTAATTTTTTTTAATTTATGTGTGTCGCACAATTAAAATTTTGATTTCAAACTGACCTCGGAAGCTAAAATTCAGCCAGTTTTTGCAGGCAGGGAAGACATGCCAGTTGCTTTTGACTTTTCTCACTAAGGTCACGCGTTGGCCACGCTCTACGTCCAATTTTTATGCTCTGATTGGTCAAAATTTGACAGGTGAGTTCATGCGGAAAATTTATGCAGCATATTGAAACTTGTTTACTTTGACAGCTGAAGCTGACAGAGTTTTGTGTCAACTTGAGATGTTTTTAACTGTCTTTCTCCGCTGAATGTACAAAATGAGATTCTGCTGCTATCAAGAGCCTTCTGTTATTCATAGCTAGTTTGTTTATTGGGTTTTTGGTTGAGAAATACTTCGCTTGTCAAAGTCGGAAATCCGAATTCGGATGGCATCGTTTTCGTTTTTCACCTTGCTTGATGCGTAAGAGGGTTGAAAAGTCTTAAGCGATTCTGGCCTTACTTGATAGTTTTCAGAGCATCTCGAATGGTAAGCCTGAGTAATTATTGTATTTGATGTTTGTATTTGATGTTTGTATTTGTCGGGCGTAGTCTATGCGGCTATTTAGTTTATGCACGTTTGTAAGATTTAAGACAATGATCGATCTGACCAAGTATCAGGTTTGATTATAAGCTTATAGAACTTTAAAAAGCCTTTAGACATTTTCTCACTGCAAATAAAAAGAAAACGTTCCAAAGAATATTTAGTTATAATTCTGGCTGTAAAAGAAAGCTTTGAGCGATTTTCTTGCCTCGAGTTCATCTTTGAAAAAAGCAAACGCCGGGAAGCTGGCTTAAAACATAAACAAGGATTTTCAGAGACACTTTTTACTTGTCTTCGTGAATGAAAATTGTTGTCTCTGTATATGTTTCACCGAATTATTATCCTTTTATTGGTTGTTAGTAGTCTCTTTTGCAATTTTAATCGCTGTGCCGTTTGTTTTCAGTCGCTCACGAACATCGCTTGCAGGAGTAGTCAAAATGCTGCGTGTATCAAACGCTTTTGAAGATTACACATAGTTATAAAACCGTTAAATAAAGAAATAAACATAATAAATTTTTTATCATGTTAAAGCGTATAACTCTATTAATCTTGATTTAAACAGTCGACTTTGGCGCTTGTCAAAAGTGAGAACCGGCAAGCCGTATAGGTGATTTTAGAAATTTTTTTAACGGTTTCGGTAAAAGCCCACGCGTGCTTCGATCGAACTGAATGTTGAATGAGTACAATTTGTATTGCAAAATTGTGATCTGTCCGAGGTCTGTAAAAATAATGCCTCATGGTACTGTTTCACCTCAGATGATGTATAAAAAGTATAAAAGGTTGGTTTACACGTCCCCAGACTTGTTAGCAAGATTTTGTAAAATAAATTGTAAACTTGTCGAGCGCAAAAAATTGGGCCTGATTTGTTTTCCGAGAATTTGTTTTCCAGGCCTAATCTACTGTGAGCAAGAGCCATTATGGCTCTTGAATGTGATCGAAGATGATTGCTATTTTTGGGGTGTACATATAAGGCTATTAACTCGATGTAAGATTAAGTTGACTCTTAGCTTGGACTGTTTGCAAATTATTTTTCTCGAAAATCACTTAGCCTTTCCCTCAAAAGTCACATGAATGTGCTCTAAAGTTAACTGATTTGTAAAATACAATTGCAAGTTTATTGTTTGATTTAAATTATAAATTCGAGTTAATAGGAGCTTCGTTTTTTGCCCTGGCTAAATCTGTATATTGGTACAGTGCACAACGGAGTTCAAACTGCACGAGCGAGCATCAGACCTGATTATTTCAGTTGTACACTGTTTACTGTTTGCAGTGTTTAGTTCTGTTTTAGACAAAAATCATTCATCTGGCTACCCTGTTTAAGACAAGAGACCTTACTTAAGACACTGGGTAGGGTAGACTAAGAACCACTTTGTAAATGTGCTACCTCCAAATCATTATTATTATTATTATTATTATTATTATTATTATTATTATTATTAATATCGTTCCGTACACATTATCAAACCATTTTTTAAACAAACATCTTGGAGACTTTTTGGAAAAAAAAAATTCCCGTTGATACCATGTTCACCACTCATCGCCACCATTCACACCTTTTTAAAGGCTTTTTATCCTAAAAGACATCCTGTTCAAGACGCTAAATTTTGAAACTATATACCCTGTTTAAGACTCAAGACCCCGAAAACCATACCCTGTTCAGCGGCACATACCCGTCAAGGCCAAATAACCTTTCTTGCGCCCATTAATTTCAAGCGAGTTCTACGCAGGCTAGTACAAAACATCTTTCAACTCACCTATCAAACTCATATGGTTGAGTTGGATGTCCTCCCGCAACCGACGCAATCATCGAAAGGTGAACAGGTTTCTCATTGGTACTAATATGAAGCTCACTACCGGCATCTGATGCTGAGAGAAATTACATGCACACGTTATACACCTTGCACGAAAAAATGGATTTGCACAACTTTTACTATGTTTGCCATATATTTACTCTCCAGTATTTGCCTTGTCCCTATTGACTGAGAGGGCCATGGAGAACGCCGTACAGGGACTAGGGGAAAATGTAAACATGAAAATTCGTTGGTCGCTAATAAAAAACCACTGGAAGGGGAGAAAAACTGAAAAACTGAAAACTTTATTTATACCCGAGGGTGTGGAGCTTATTAGGCTCCTAGCTTAAGTAGCTAATGAGTCGAGGTTAAAAACAAACAAAGAAGAAATGAACTGACTTTAAACTATTTACATCATAATGCGATATTGTTTACAGATAATGATTCTAAAAGGTACAATATTAACGATAGTCTAACAGTTACATAAAGAGCAGTTACATGCGTCAAAGGTGATCTTTGTGATGCGTGTTACAAATGTTTTAAGGGTCGGAGAAGTTCTTAGTTCATCATTTAGAGAGTTCCAGATTTTTGGTCCGTAGTACCTAAAGGTGTTTAGTCCATACTTAGTGGTGATAACTCTGGGTTGTACAAGAATCAATTCGCCCCGTAAATTACGTGATTTACTTCTAAGCGTCAGCAGATTGCGAAGTGGAGTAGGTGTTGTTCAATGAATGACTTTATAGATAAGAATACACATGTCCTGGACTCTCCTATCGTGCAGAGAAGGCATGTTTGCTGTTTCCAGTAGAGTAGCATAAGTACTAGCATTGTCATTAAAAATTAATCTTAGAGCCCGCTTGATCAGTTTTTCAAGTTTGTCTGATGCCGTTTTTCCACAGTGCATCCACACTGTGGAACAATAGGTGAAATGAGGTAAAATATAAGCCTTATATAGCGTGAGTTTAGTTTGGATGCTTAACAACTTTCTAAAGCGACTAATGACTACGATCTGCTTGCTTGTCTTTTTGCATATTGAAGCTACATGGTTGTTGAAATTCAGCCGTTCGTCTATGTGCCAGTAAGATGAAGATCAGAGGGCGCTTTTCATCGTTAGAAACGGCCGACCAGACCGCTACAGTAGTAAAGAGAATCCCTAGGCTCTATTAATCAAGACTATTCAACCAAATCAACCTATTCATCAAGGGTATATTCGGCATTGGTAGTTTTTGGGAAAATTTCGAGAAAACCTAGAATTTTTTAATTTCAAAATAACCAGTTCGATCGCGCGCCAGTTCTGACTTTCGGTAAGCGCATGTCTAATAATTTCAATTCCATTGCGTAGCATTTCGATAACATTAGCCTGCAGAGCAGGCGCTTTATCAGCCATGGGAGGCAAACACGGCAAGAGCGTGAAGCGCAAAATGCTGCGTTCGACTCGCTTGGCTTATACAGCGCCTGTTATGCAGACTGGATAACATTTGCCTTTCTGGGTCAAACCCCTTCATTGGTCAAACACCCCAATAATACGAATCAGTTTGGTATGTTCAGTTGCACTGTTGAGTATTCACCGATCTACCGCCGTGCTTGTCTCCAAAGACTTTGATCAACCGTAACCCCATTGACCTTTGTCCTCCTTGTCTCTTTTTTTCTGAAACTAACCTCCTCTTTCTTGCATGCCTAATAAGGACTAAGGTACAAATTTTTAGAATCAAAATAAATGCCCTCACAAAGCATGAAGCGGTAAATCCCAGTCTGCTGTGGAACAAAATACGTCCTTGCTCGAGTACCGAAATAATCAGCCCAACTCTGCGGTAGCTGGAAATCAGGAAGACATATTGTTTTCGATGGCAGCCTTGGATAACGAGAGGCCATGAGGAGGAATTTCACACGCTTGTAATCTATCCGGTCCCATCTTTCCAAATAGATGCCGTTGGTAACTGAAATGGAAACAGTTTCACTGGAATGTTGCAAGTGAAATCTCTACCCTTTCATAACCTTTCATAACCCAGGGTTAGTGCGAGATTTGAATTCAGATTTGAAAGCTTAAAAAACATTTCAGTTTTAATTCTTTTTGTCTACAGGTTGATGATTGGAAGAACATTATCCACGAAAATGTTTTTGAACACAAGGGAAAGAAACCAGGGCCGGGTTGTTCAAAGCTGGGTTAAGATAACCCAGGGTTAGTGCAAGATTTGAAATCAGCTTTGAAGGGATTAAAAGCATTTCATATTTAATTCTTTTTGTCTACAAGTTGATGATTGGAAGCTCTAAATATAACAGAGAAAATTATCCGAGAAAAGGCTTTTTAACACGAGAAAGAGAAACCCGGGTTAATCGCTAATCGGCCTTCGAACAACTGGGCCCTGGGTTAAATTTAACCCCGGGTTAAGCGATAATCGGCCTTGGAACAACTGGGCCCAGGGGTGTTTTGCTTTGATGTAATTTCACCTTCAGACAAGTCAGAAAACTGACTAACGTATTAACTAGGGGTTTCAATTTCAAGTAAGTGCTGGCGTCAGAGTCGGAAGAAAATACGGAGACTACAGTTTGAAAATAGAGAAGAAAAAGAAAGTAACTCCTGCGAATGAGGGTGGGTAAGCCTTAGTATTTAAAAGGAATAAATATGATATTTTTTAGCATAAAAGAGCTATAAAAGGGAAGAGCCCTTCGAGTAAATTTCCAGAATGCAAGCAGATGAAAAACGAGGCCTGAGTTTTAATGAATTGCCTTTTGATATATTTTATAGATTTCCTTATTTGCCAATGCAAGTATTCATCAAGGTCACGAACTGGTTAAGTGGTAAATCCCGAGGAAGACAAGAGATTTTAATGCGTTTGACTGCTCTTCTATCTCAACAATTTTTGCCCGTTCGCGAATGGCGTTGCGAAGGCATTGCTAATACATTTTCAGCAATAATCAAGGTCAATGGGCGAACGACGGTTTAATGTGGTGCTCGAGAAGATTAAAAGAAAACAATTGGACCCCACGGTAGCCTGCGTGGCAGGTGCTTGCCAACGCTTCAGTCAAATAATTTTGCAGTTGAATGGTTAGCCATGAGAAGATGGCTTCCAAGAGCGATATACATTTTGAATCCAAAGTTCCAAGCTGTTTCTTTCGCCTCAACGAACAAATGTAATTCAGTGGTCAAATTATCGGCTGAATTGTTTAACTCGACATGTACAGATTTTGACATAACGATCAGATTTAACGCCCCAACGGGCGAAAATAATACTTTGATTTGCATGTACCGAAGTAGCTTTAGACGCAAGGCTGTGTTATCAGGTTAATGCTTCGCACCGTCCTGTCTTTTCTCACGAAACCAGCAGCCAGAGTCGGCAGTTAAATCCGAATGAAAGTATGTTTGCCTGGCACTTCACTACTGCTGAATGTACAGGGAAAAAACTATTTCCAAAAAGGATGATTTGAATGATCGATATCTTTGTTCCTCCATATGTATTTGGGAATCGGCGAAAAGAGCAGCCAAACACATAATCCTCCTGTTCTCCACGAGATTCATAGCTAAAACAGTCTGGATCGAGACATTGATGAATACTTTAAAGACAACTAGAAAATGAAAAAAGCAATTGCTTAACACAGATCTCGCTTACTTCCCTGCTAGAAGAGGTCTCTCACGACGAGGCAAAATTTTTGGCCTCGTCGTGAGAGACCTCTGCCTGCACCCTGAAATCTGTTCGAAGTCCAAGTGCGTTTTACGTGATGTCATCGTACAGGAGCAATTACGCCGGATAATAAGCAAAACCATTCAACTGCGCATGCTTCCGATCTTACATCCGACAAATTTAGGCTTTTTCCCGCTATTGTAGAGAATAGTGTGCTGGCTCGCATAAGGCTCGTTAGCAATCAAAGACGTTACCAAGAAGAATTTTCGTTGTTTATAGTTTACTTTATTACTCACTGTTACAGGGTGGCTTCCAAGAACCAAATGCTCGCCGCTTTCTAAGCAGTACACGTTCAGCTTCTAGAATTTTAAAAAAGGCACTCAAAGCTGAGTGATATTGTATAACAGATTTATTCTCCTACAGTGTGATCTCGAATTTTAGGCAGTTTAAGATATCACGACGACGACGGTAACGAGAACTTAATGCCAAATTTCACTTTTTATGAAGAACGTAAACAAGCGAAGTCGAAATTTTCTTTCTCTCTCTGAAGTTGGATATAGTTCTTAGGAATTCAACTCCCGGAAAGTTTTTGCCTACATTTGACAAAGTAGGTGAGTTCTGGCCGGGATAATAATTGCGATGACGATTGGAAGCCGGAACGCAAATTCACTATTTTAAGCGTCGACCCACTCGATTGTCACCACCGGCCACCGTCGCCGTCCTCGGATTTTAAATTCGTTTTTAACGTACCTGGCAGGACTGAAGCACATTTGGCTGACTGACGATTTTTTGGGAGTGCTAATCTCTTAAAAATAAACAGTCAGTGAGCAATTTCTGTCTTTACCATACCTCCATAATCATCAATGAATCGATCGAAAAGCTATTTCCAAAAAAGCGTTCGAAATCGCTAAATACGGAGTACTATTAGTTATAAACCTAATCAATCTGCCCGCCTTCAGTTCGTTTTACCAATAATATACTGGACTTAATTCCTCCGTTTCCTTTATTATCTGTTTTTTCTTTCATCAACAAGTGTTTTTTGTTCTTTATTTAGAGCTCAAGTTCGTGAATCATGACTACTCTAAAAACATGTGTTTAAAACTCTGAAAACCAAAGTTTGTCCAGACATTTAATTCTATGACATTCATATCTGTGCGATTCCACGCAAAAAATAAACAGGTAAACAGGATTAGATACATCTGGGGTTAGAACGAAGTGGTTATCACTTCGAGATGCGATCAAAGAATCGTGTTTGCCAAGTCAACTTTTCAGTTCAAAGTTGATATCAGGACAGTTGCGCGGTTTGCCTTGTCATTCTACAATTAAGTAAAGAAGTTTACGTGTTATTTTCTTATTCCATTTAGTTCTGTTTAGCTTTAGAATGGCCCTATATGTAAACAATAAATAGCGAGTTTTATCAACAAACAGCGACAATATAATTACAGTGGTGCTAAAACCATTTAACGTACCTGTTGACTCGTGTCTTTTATCGCCTTGCTTGACCCCGTTTGTATGTTGCGCAGTAGAACACTGCTGAAGCGGTACACTTCATTGGACGTCGTTGTTTAGTGGCTGGTAAGGACGTTTCACTGTTACTTTTTGAAAGGTAAAGTCTCTTGTCTGACGAAAACTGAAGCAATATATGACCACCTGAAGCAATATATGACCCGAAGAACCTTAAGGCAACTATCAGAGAAATCAATTGAATACCAGCTTGCATGGGCAGTTGAAAATTAAAATTACCATAGATTGTATTACTAGCATTGCTGCTGGTGGCGTTATTGGTGTTCCAGAATGCTTTGCCTACTGTAGTTTTAGAGTTCCAGCGGTCATTCGGGGGACATACAAAGAGAAAAAAGGGGTGAAAAACGTGGGAAGCTTTTAGCGAGCTGATACTTCCAATCGCTAAAAGTGGGCGTTCCCTGTCAAGGCTCTATAGATATCTAGCCTCCCCGCAGACGTTCTTTGTGGGGCACGACAAACCCCTAAGAACGTCTGCGTGGGAGGCTAATAGATATCTTGCAAGAATTTAATTAGATTATAATTTTACTATGAACAAATCTCTCTAGTCGTTCAGGTGATAATGGGCGTGAGTCCATTTTATCTGAATCGGTAAACTTTCCTTTCATTCCTGTTGATAAAAGAAAATTTACCAATCAAAAATGCATCCATTTTCTGTTCGACAACCTATTCTGTCGAGTTCGCCCCAAGTAAGGGAATCCAATCTTGGATTATGGATTCGGACACGCCGTGGATTCCAACCTCCTACCCAGGCCAGTTCTCGCTATCCGAGTTACCAGAGGAGGCTTGGAACCGAGTGCGATAGAGTACGCGGCGAATTTCCCGACAAGCTTGACAGGTGACGTCACTTCCGAAATCGCCGAGGAAGACTGGGAACGAGGCTGCGTGGATTCCAGATTAAAGGTCCCGTATTCCGGATTCTTTATCAATGGAACTTGGAATCCGGATCCAATCGTTAGAGGGATTCCGGATTCTAGGAGCTGTTTTCCGGATTTCAAAGCGCGGGATTCCTGATTCCACAGCAAAAATTTGATGCAATCTGGATTCCAGATGCAAAAATTTCCCGGATTCCGGAGGGGTCGTGTCGGGTCAAAAACAAGCCACAGTCTATTCGTGCAGTCGTCGCACGAACGGGAAGTTTGTCATAGAGCCCCTTAAATCAACATGCTGGAAAATTTCATGCTGACTTTCTGAGAAGCTATTTTGTCGTTTGGCAACTTATATTATATCAAGTCCCCAAAGACTGTCCATTCGTAAAATCCAAACGGTAGGAAACACTTCGCTGCAGTTTGCAAAGTCCTTCATATCATTTAAAGATCTTTGAAGTCTCTCTAATAAAACCCATTTCCGTTTACTGGCAACTCATTCTTCCCATTTGACAATGATTTTGTCTACTTATGGAACCGGTATGTAGGAGTCAACGACTCACTGTATGGCCTTTTATGCTTGGCAATTTCTAACTCTCTTAAATGAGATGCACTTTTCCGTTTGACAAATTAAGTCACTCTGCCGGATTCTTCAGAGTAGAAAATGATTCCATCCATTCGTAAGACACGTGCGAACCGACACTTTTTTGTAGGGCCCTTTACACTAGGCAATTTACAATTCTCTTAGATAAGATACAGTTTTCGGTTCGAAAGCTAATTCTTTCGAGTCGACAATTACTTTTTCTGTTCATCCTGGGCTCTTACCGTGAATAGACAACTATGTTGCAGGTCCCTGTAAGCTTGACAGTTTTCTCCCGCCGAACTCTCTCAAATGAGAAAGACCACCAGTCGAAATCTTTGACAGTTACTTTTGGAACAGTATGTAGCAAACAGTAACAAACAATACTTAACCTTCAAGACTTACTGGGTGGAACAGGCAAACTGGTCCTCAAGAATGTCGAAGGTATCACTGTGTAATTTGTCCCGTTAGGTGCCTGCATTCCAACTTCTAAGTGATCATTTTGATGATCGTCTTTCATTATTGTTTCCATGTAATAATATTTTCCCTTGTCCAGAGGAATAGGAAGTGATATTTGGTCGCTATACCTGCATAGATTCATGACACATAAGGTTGATTATATTACTGGCTGTCCCCAATATGGTCCTTTATTTAATCCTGTCACTGAAACTAAAAGCTCACTATGTATTAGCCTGTTTACAGCCACCTACTTCCCTCAAACATAATAGGGGAGAGAGTGGAGGGAGGCTAACTTTATACCGGCCTCTTCCGAGACTTAGAGGCTCTTAGATTAATAAGATAACTAAAGAGAACATAAATGTATTCCTATCTTTGAGGCTTGAGGTTCAGGTATGAATTCCGTAAACTGCCGCTCAAAAAGCCCCCCGTTTCCCACTCACTCTGTATAAGCCCGTCTAACAGAAGGGAGCTTTAGAAACGACGACGACAACGATGACGTCAGCAAAAACGTCGCTATCAATTAAAGAGACTCCGCGTTTTTTCAGACTTTGTTGCGGTTTCTCCAACTCGTCCAATATGCCATTTGAATGAATTTCCCTCGAATTGAATTCTTAGAGACCAACACTAAGTTTAAAAAAGAGAAAGAGAAATTCGTCGTCGTAAGTTTACGTCCTCCATAAAACGTTGCAGAAAAGAATTTCCCCCCGTACTCGTGCAGTGAAAGCAACGAAATGTACAGATAAAGCGAGACGCACGTGCAGAGTTGCTGTTTTGCTTATTAACCTACTGCCTTTTTGCCTTTCTCGTCGCCGTCGCTGTCGTCGTTGCTAAAGCTCCATAGAATCGGGATTTGAGAGAGGAGGGAGAGGCCGTACACAGGCTAACCCGGTACTGGCGAGGTGCTTTTTATCTGTTTTTCTTGATCGGGAGCAAAAGTCTTATTAAAGTGTCTTTTGGGTGATCCATATGTACTAACCTGTTCGGAGACCAAGGGCCTCTTAGATCAATTAAGACTAATCTTCGTCTCGTTTCGATATACCAAAATTTATTCCTGTCTCTTAAGATCCAGGGATGAGTAAATATGACTTTTTAATTTTTATTATCTTAAGACTAAGCTGTGTTCGGTTCGCTGTTTTCGGCCAAAGGAAACTGAAATCAATAACATGGTACGTTACGCCCTTCAGTCCTTTAGTCTGATACTCCAGTAGACTATTCTCAGTCCCCCGTTTTTCCGTAAGGTGGAGATCGAGCGCTGACCGACCGGGGCAGCCATCTTGGTTTTAAGTGTATTGAAAGAGGACCAGAATCCTGGATTAAAGTCGGTAATTTGAAATCAAGATTGCCTTCTCTGACTATCCTGCACAGTCTATTCTGTTTAAGGTGGGGAAAACATTTACAAAATATACTATAAATAGAAGCCTTTATCTCACCTGTCAAACTCATAAGGATAAGTGGGAAATCCTCCTTCTACTTCAGAAATCCTTGACTTTGAGTCAGGTTTCTCATTGGCACTAAGAAACAGCTCGCTTCCAGCGTTAGAAGCTGAAAAAAGAGTTATCGAGTACAATCAGTAAAATTTTCTTTCGCAGCCGTTATTAGGAGGCTTAAGCAACTACGACAACGGCTGCAACGGGAACGTCAAAAACCAATTGATTTTATCACAGGCGGTAGACCTTTCCAGATTCTGCTCCGGAAAAGCTAAAACGTTGCTAAGAAATATGCCAAAAAGTTGCTCAAAAGTTGCTCAAAATTGAAAAAGCTGCTCAAAAATTTTGTAAAGTTGCTCGAATATTTTTAAGACAGCATGTTTAATTTTAAGAACAATTGCTTTGCAATCAACATTAAGGTACAACTAAGTAACTAGTTACAACAAATTAGGCAACCTTTAGTTAAATCTAAGTGGCTAGTCACAAAAACTTTGAAGTTAGACAGTAAGTGTAACAATCTGGCTTACAAATCCAGCTAAATCGGGAAGACAACGTGGCGTTCGCCATTTTGTTTACACACAGTCCACAGGCTATCCCAACCTCGTTCCCAGGGCTTTTCCCTTCTCGTGGGGGAAGGAGGTTGAGGGCTAGAGGCTACCCAAACCCAATTCTTGTAATTAATTACCACGTCCACATGATACCCATTCAAAGGATAAAAATATGAGTTTTACTAGAAAGATGTTGAAAATTTTAACCAAGAGAATTTTAACTTGTTCAAAAAAAAGGGGTTATTCAGCATTTTGGTTCAAAATAGCCCAAAAGTTACCAGTTTTCGGAAAAGTTGCTAGTTTTCCGAAAAGCTGCTAGAAGTTGCTCTCTGACAACAAAGTTGCTCAAAATCCTAAAAGTTGCTAAAAAGTTGCCGAGCAGAATCTGGAAAGGCCTAACAGGCGGCCAAGACGAGATGTGTGTCAATATATTAATATTCACATGGACAAAATCGGATAAGTCGTCGAAACTCCCATGAACTAAAATAATCCAAGAGTCAAACTATAACGAAACAAAGCTAAGGTAACTTTAACTGAACGTCTCCTTCTTCTTCCTGGCCGGTTAAAATGGCATTTTGTTGAGTTTTGCAATTGTAGGTTCTTTAGTGGATAGTACCTACGATTGTAAAACTCAACAAAATGCCACTTTAACCGGCCGGGAGAACGAGACGTTCAGTTAAAGTTATCTTAGCTTTGTTTTGTTATATTTTGACTTTTGGACTATTCTAGTTCATGGGAGTTTCGACGATTCATCCCATTTTGTCCATGTGAATATTAATATATTGACACACACTACGTCTGGACAGCCTGTGATTTTATGAGCAAAACGCGGGTACGTCGGCTTAGCCTCGATTTCCGCCATTCTCCCGGGCTGGCCCATTTCTCGAAAGTCCCGGTAACTTGTCGGGCCCTGAAAGCTGTTTGTGTTTGCCGTGTTTGCATCAGTTCAAGATCAAAGTTACAATAAAGGAGTCTTCATTATTTATCCCGTTAGGGGGGGAGGGGGGCTCGGCAAAATCATGAGTGGGGGGGCGGGCAGAAACGTTGAAGTCCTTCCTTTACAATAAGGGAGGCCTCATTATTTATCCCGTTGGGGGAGGGGGGCTCGGCGAAATCATGAGGAGGGGCAGAAACGTTTGAAGTGCTTCCTTGGGAGGAAGGGGTTGGGGGGATCGTTTCTGTTTCAACATAGTTAGTGGGGGTAGATGTCAAACTTGAATAACGATAATAATAATTATAATACTGATGTATTTTACAACACTTGAGCATTTGAAGGCTGGAATCAGAGGTGAAGAGATACTCTACCCAGATACATTGTCATATGGGTGTGCCTATGTGCTGAAGGAACACTAACTTGGCTGTCTCAAACGTTTGAGCTTTATAGATTTCACCCCCTTTTACTTAAAGGTTGAAACCTGTTGTTTATTCTGGGTGAGTAAATCTGGAAACTTGTGGTTTTAGCAGAGGTTGACACTGATGATGCAGGACCTAACAGATAGTGATTTTGACAGTGAATCAACCGACAATGAAAGTGACCTTACAGACGTTACGATGCCCAGTCAGGAGATTATTAGGCTCCTAGCCCAGTACTGCTCCAAGCAAAAAATCTGGAAAAAGAGTGAGACCAAACCAATTCTTGAATATCACATCGTTTGAACCATTTACTTGCACTTATATAAAGGATAGGGGGATGCCTGAGGGGGCAGTTTTAAAGATATTGAAAGTGGATCCGTAGAAAATGCGCCCCTTCCCTTCAATCAAGGATAAATAATGAACACTTTTGAAAATGATACAATGAAAATATCAGGTGACGAAAAAAAATTGGATAGTTTGTGAGCTACTATTCAATTTTGTTTTGTTAGCTGATAGCTTTATTGTATAATTTTAAAAATTATTAGAACGTCGATCTTGAATGTAAACACGGCAAACATGAAACGGCTTTCAGGGTCCGAAAAATTACCGGAACTTTCGAAGAAACCAGCCTGCGAATACATGCCTTTCTCCTTGCTCCTCGCCGCTAAGGGCGTTAAACGGGCTCCTTTGTTTTTGCAATGAGGAGCGCGGGCTCATTTCCTGTACAGCGGCTGATGAGCGTACAGTTCTGCACGTGCATCAGACTTTTTCAAACATTTCTTTGGCGCCCACTACATGACTATGACTTTGAAACTTCACAGTGCGACTTACGAATTTCTCTGTCAGCCGCTTAGTGGCGCCTTTTTTAGGAAGAAAGTAAAAAACGTTTTCCTAAATCTAATCTTACCACAATAAGCACATATATGTGTAAAGAGAGAATAGACGGGAATGAGTAATTCCCTCAGGTAGTTAGAGACGAAACTAAACGAACAATTTCTTTCTGATATCCTTAAGTACGAATCGTCAAATGGACTTACAGAGCATGAAGTAGTAAATTCCGGTCTGCTGTGGAACAAAATACGTCCTTGCTCGAGCACCGAAATAATCAGCCCAATTCTGCGGTTGCTGGAAATCAGGAAGACATATTGCTTTCGATGGCAGCATTGGATAACGAGGGTCCGTGAGGAGGAATTGTATACGCTTATAATCTATCCGGTCCCATCTTTCTAAATAGATGCCGTTGGTAACTGAAATGGAAACATTCTCACTGGTATGTTGCAAATATTAATAAAACAAAAGTAAATTCGCGCGCTTTGCGTGTCAATTACCCCTATTTACTACTTGAGTGAAGCTGAGGAGGGGCTCGGACCGGGTTACCCAGCTCAGTGAAAAAGCTGGGGTATGCTTACTGCAGCGCTAAATTGTATAAAACGTTTACAGAAGTAGTCTACCTTACAAGTGCAAACATCTTTTTAGAGACTGAGAGAGTGTCACAATGGCTACTGACACTTGGAAATTACAATTGTAAAAGAGCTCAGTAAATGCAACTCCGACGCTAATATAGTTTGTTTTTTCTCACTGTTTTTTTAGCCTGATGTCAAGCCTAAGCAAATGCACAAAGGTCATTCACTGAAATACTATTTTCTGGTCACACGCTTTTGCATCTCCATTTATAATACCTATTTAAAAGCCAAACTTCGTTGGAAAATCGATCTAGAAATAAGTTGGTTTATAGAAAAGCCACTGCATGGACACAAAGGAGGTGATCACTCCGGGTTATGGGCTCCCAAAAAAAAAAAATTATCTAGAAAAGTACGGCTTTTTGTTGTTATTGGCGCCCATCATCGGTCAGAAAAACTTTATCCTTTTTTTTCTGACTGTTTACAGTGTCAAAAAAATTGTTAAAGGTGGCTATCATCTCAAACAACTAGCTACTACGTTTCTTTTTGTGCTTATAAGCAAGCCGGTATCGTGCATCACTAGCTCTATATACAGCACACGCCGAGACGTTTATCATTTGGGAATTGGGTTTATAAGTCCCATATATTTGAATTAGCAATTTTTCTTTCAAATCGAGGTGAATAGTGGCAGAATAAATCGTAGTCTGCTACACAGCCGTTTTTAGGGTCGTCACGCAACGCTCCTCCCCACTAGTGGGGAGGAGCGTTGCGTGACGACACTAAAAACGGCTGTGTGGCAGACTAAATAAATCGCGGCGAGGTAAATATCAGCGATCATTCGAGACAACTGTCAGCCAGGACCTTCTCTCCTTCTGCAACATGCACGGCCGAACATCAGAGCCCGAGCGAGGCTGGGTAGGGGCGGGGGGGGTCTAGTAGACAAAGCTTTATACAGGGAAACTATTCCCAGGGGTCCAACCCTTTACCCTTTTCTATACAATTTTTGACAGAAAAGGGACCCCTTTCGTATACCTTTTATTAGCAAATATGGTACCCCTGTCACATACACGAAGTTTAACAGTCGGGGGTCGAAGAATAGGGGCTTATGAACTTTCTTCCCCTGAAAAGGGGGGCTTATTAGAGGGAGGGGGATTATTTGAGAGGGGGGCTTAATAGAGGATTTACGGTAATTCAGTTCAAGATATTACTTACGGTTGCACGGTGGTTCAAAGGAACCAAATGCTCGCCGCTTTCTAACCAGTCCACGTTCAGCCTCTAGGATCAGCACAAAAACACAATCACTCCTTTTAATGAAGCAAATAAACCCGTCTCTCATCCCATCCCCCCCCCGCAGCCGTTCGGATGTTCGCGAGAGAGACAAAAGATTATTTTACAAGCATCAAAAAATGAACAAGGATATCTTTGCTCCGTTAGTAAAACTCGAGTCATTAGAAAGATTTAAGCTTACAGTCACGTTTACGGCAAACGTGAATTTTCACCAGCTGACCAAGTTTTCTCTTTACTTGTTATAATCTGCACTTTAGATCTAAACCTTCAGATAAGGGGGGAAGCCAAGTCATTCAGACCCAGAGATAAGGAGAGGGGGGCGCCAGTGTCCAAAAACATTTTTTTTGGCCCTTCGGGCCTCAGTTTCGTCTAAAAATAAGGGGGGCTGGGCGCGTGCCTCCCTGGCCCCTCCCCTGGATCCGCCACTGGGGTGATTCTGAATCTCTCGCATGGATCATACTTTCCCATCAGAAATTCGTTAGAGCCCTCTATTAAAGAAATGCTTGGGGATATAACATGCCTCATTGTATGGTCTAAAAACCGCCGTGGTTCAATAAGTTGAACTGACAGAACTGGGCTGAATCTTCCTGGCTATCCTTCTTTGAGATTTTTTAGTTCTTAATTCTGAAATGCTTTTTTTGTAATTTGGAACTTCAGTTTGTTAATAATAATTAGTGAAAAATAAGTGCGTACGAAAGTTGAACCGCTCTTTCCTGCAGACATTGACCCTCTGTGGTCTAGGTTTAACACAAAGAAAGAATTAGATACCTTTGGATTCATTCTGAGGCGGGTAAAACCATTTCGAGATCGATTTATCTCTAGGTATTAACACTAGATCGGCTTCGACATTTTACTGTTGTGTTATTATAAAAAGTACTATAGATACGATCGTTTACTTTCTTTATCGTTTTTGTATGTTTTCCGTATCTTATTACGTTCATTTTAGTTGAAAGACTGGCATAGAATGTAACCATTGGATCGCGAGAACGAAAAACATGAACAAAATAATTGCAATGGTGCTAAAAGCACTTAACGTACCTGTTGATACGTGCTGTTTTTCCCTTTGTTGGCGCCCTTTTGAAAACTGAAAAATCAAAGTGTATACTGCGCAGTAAAGAACTGCAGTTAAATACTTCATTGCGCGTCGCTAGTTGACGACTCAACAAGGACGTTTCACGATTTGTTATTTGCGATGGTTAAATTACTTTTTGTCAGCCAGACATTGAAGTAAGATGAGCCACCTGCTGGACACTTACATCGCAGATTCATAGAAAATGACTACCAGCTAGCAGATGTTGTCAAACTGTCAGTTGAAAAAATTAAACAAATTAAAATAATAACAATAATAATAAAACGGTAGATTTAACTACCAGCTACTTCTGTGGTATTACAGTTGTTGAAGTATGGGATACCTCGTAAAGTCTTGGTACGTACTTGGTGGTCTTGCTTGGTACGTACAATGTTACAAACTGTTGATTTTTCTTCTTTCTTTCAAAAATTCTATGAACAATAAACTCATCATTGGCGACACCCTATGATTCCAGTCTTAATCTTGTTTTATAAATCTTGCTGCCCTTCTGTTGACCGCTCCAACCTTGTCTATGTGATCTTGCTGGTAGGTGTCTCTTACAGCAGGGGCAAATTCTAAATGAAGTCTAAAAACACATTCATTGCTGCTGGTGGCCGACGTTACTAATGTTGCAGAATGCTATAGCTAATTTTAGAGTTCCAAAGCCTATCACTGGCGGGAAATAAAGTCACATGGTTAGTTGTTTTCTGCTTTAATTAGCGAGCTGATAACTCCGACCGCTAAAGTGGGCGTTCCTTGTCAAGCCTCTAGAGATATCTTGCAAGAATTTAATTGGGTGAGAATTTTACTACGTACAAATCTTTCTAGGTCTTTTAGTTGATAATGGTGTGAGTCCATTCCATTTGAATTGGTAAATTTTCCTTTCGTTCATTCCTATTGACAAAGGAAAATTTACCAATCAAAAAAAAAACAAACCTGTTTATTCGTGCAATCGCACGAACAAGCAGTTTGTCGCAGAGCACCTTAAATCAACGTGCTGGAGAATTTCATGCTAACTTACTGATATATTATGAGACGCAATTTTATCGTTTGGGAACTTAAGTTCCCAAACCAAACACTATTTTTTACAAAGTTTTAATGTATTTTAAATTAAATTAAAATTTTTATTGTATTTAGAAATAATATTAAAAATAGTTACTAAATTATGTTTTAAATGGTGTTTTAACTTGCTTTTAAAGGTGTTTTAACCTGCTTTTAATGGTGTTTTAACCTGCTTAAAACCATGTTAAAATCTATTTAAAACTGTTTTAAAATTATACGAGCATTTTTTCAAATTCAGCAAAACCATTTTAAAATACATTTCAATGTTGCTTCAAACAGGTTAAAACACCATTAAAGGCAGGTTAAAACACCTTCAAAAGCAGGTTAAAACACCATTAAAAGCAGGTTAAAACACCTTTAAAAGTAGGTTAAAACACCTTTAAAACCAGGTTAAAACACCATTAAAAGCAGGTTAAAACACCTTTAAAAAGTAGGTTAAAAGACCATTAAAAGCAGGTTAAAACACCTTTAAAACCTGGTTAAAACACCATTCAGAAAGCAGGTTACAACACCTTTAAAAGCAGGTTAAAACACCTTTAAAACCAGGTTAAAACACCTTTAAAAAGTAGGTTAAAAGACCATTAAAAGCAGGTTAAAACACCTTTAAAAGCAGGTTAAAACACCTTTAAAAGCAGGTTAAAACACCTTTAAACGCAGGTTAAAACACCATTAAAAGCAGGTTAAAACACCATTAAAAGCAGGTTAATATTTTGAGAAGTACTAAATATATGATCGTTTAATTAATTTATCGTTTTTATATGTGTTCCTTATCTTATTAAGTTCATTTTAGTTAAAAGACTTGCACAGAATGTAAACATTGGATCGTGAAAACGAAAACAATCAACAAAATAAATACAATTGTGCTAAAAGCACTTAACGTACCTGTTGATACGCACTGATTTTCGCTTTCTTTGGCGCCCTTTCGAAAATTGAAAAAGCAAAGTGTATACAGAGCCGAAATTGCGACTGATACGGTCGCCAATGCGACTAACATTTTCTCTTTGGCGACTAAAATTCAAGTTTAGTCGCCAAAGTGGCGACCAGATTTCTATGATTTAGATTTAAAATAAAAGAATAAAGTTAAAACAAACATTTCATTTTATCCTGCTTTGCTTTCATCATAAAAAAATGTGCCAAATCGCATAAGCAAAGCCAGTTTACCTCCAAATTTATACCGACTTCTATCCACGATATTTTCAAATCTGATAGATCGCACCATACTATGCAGGGCTTCTGATAGGTCGCTTAAAAAAAGTCAAATTTCGCGGGCTTTTAGGGGCAAATTCGCGGAAAAATCGACCGATTTCGCAGGAATTTTCGGGGCAAACTTAGCCGAAAATCAGTCGGTCAAAAAAGGCCGACTTTGGGGTTATTTTCAGGGAAAACTTCGTCAGAGATCGATCGGTTTTTGCGCTGACCAGACCAGCGTTTTTAATGTTTTTCTAAAAGAG